CTATACTATTTCTAGTTTATCCTCTATTACTATTGATACCTCTATTACTATATCTATTCTCTACTCTATTTACTATACTATTTCTAGTTTATCCTCTATTAACTATTCGGATCTCTATTACTATTCTCCATCTATTTACTATATGGACTAGTTTATTTCTTTTCTCCTCTATCCTATTTCTATTTTCTATCCCTATTACTATATGGACCGCTATTTCTACTCTATTTTATACTATTTCTAGTTTATATTATTCGGATCGCTATTTCTACTCTATCCTCTATTACTATATCTATTTACTCTATTTACTATACTATTTCTAGTTTATCCTCTATTACTATTCGGATCGCTATTTCTACTCTATCCTCTATTACTATATGGACCGCTATTCTCTACTCTATTTACTATACTATTTCTAGTTTATCCTCTATTACTATTCGGATCGCTATTTTCTAGTTCCTCTCTATCCTCTATTTACTATATGGAACTCTTATTCTCTACTCTATTTTACTATACTATTTCTACTATTTTAGTTTCCTCTATTACTATTCGGATCGCTATTTCTACTCTATCCTCTATTACTATATGGACCGCTATTCTCTACTCTATTTACTATACTATTTCTAGTTTTATTCTCTACTCTATTTACTATACTATTTCTCTATTTTATACTATTTCCTCTATTACTATTCGGATCGCTATTTCTATTTCTATATGGACCGCTATTCTCTATCTATTTACTATACTATTTCTAGTTTATCCTCTATTACTATATTTCTACTCTATCCTCTATTACTATATGGATTTACTATACTAGTTTTATCCTCTATTTCTATTTACTCTATTTACTATACTATTTCTATCCTCTTTATCCTCTATTTCTAGTTTATTCGGATCGCTATTTCATCTATTCTATCCTCTATTACTATATATGGATCCTCTTACTATTCGGATCCTATTTCTCTCTATCCTCTATTACTTCTCTACTCTATTTACTATACTATTTCTAGTTTATCCTCTATTACTATTCGGATTGCTATTTCTACTCTATCCTCTATTACTATATGGACCGCTATTTTCTCTACTATTTCTATTTATCCTCTATACTATTTCTATTTTACTCTATCCTCTATTACTATTCGGATCGATATTTCTATACTATTTCTAGTTTATCCTCTATTACTATATGGACCGCTCTATTCTCTACTCTATTTACTATACTATTTCTAGTTTATCCTCTATTACTATTCGGATCGCTATTTCTACTCTATCCTCTATTACTATATGGACCGCTATTCTCTACTCTATTTACTCTATTTTCTATACTATTTCTAGTTTATTTCCTCTATTACTATTCGGATACTCTATTTACTATACTATTTCTAGTTTATCCTCTATTACTATTCCTATCTCTATTTCTATTACTATATGGACCGCTATTCTCTACTCTATTTACTATACTATTTCTAGTTTATCCTCTATTACTATTCGGATCGCTATTTCTACTCTATCCTCTATTACTATATGGACCGCTATTCTCTACTCTATTTACTATACTATTTCTAGTTTATCCTCTATTACTATTCGGATCGCTATTTCTACTCTATCCTCTATTACTATATGGACCGCTATTCTCTACTCTATTTACTATACTATTTCTAGTTTATCCTCTATTACTATTCGGATCGCTATTTCTATTCTATCCTCTATTACTATACGGACCGCCATTCTCTATACTATTCACTATATTATTTCTCTATTCGGATCACTATACGGATTACTATTCGAGAGAGTATTATCGAGCAAGTACTATTAGTGTGAGTGATATTCGAAGGCGTCTGACACCAGTATTGTTCAACGGCGCTACTATAGTTGTAACTGCGATTACAAAGTCTCTACTACAACGAGCATTACAAAAGTGACAACGAGTATTCTTTGATATTACAAAAGATTAGAATGCGGGTGAATATGGCTGTCCACTAGTTCTTATAATTTTTAGATTTTGACTTTTTACTATCCTACCCATTCTTTGTTCTGCCTTCTACTTATACTAGCTTGCCAGGTAGGTTACTCACTATTTCCCCCCTGTCCCCTTACTTGCAATATGCCCTGTGAGTGTCAATTTTCCAAGCCCTCTTTTCCTCATTCCTAGAAATCTCAACTGTCTCCTTATAATTCTAAGTATAAGTATTTTTTTCGATGATGGGATTCAATTTTCGTAAGATTTATTGTTTCATACATGTCCCGTTAGTGGTATACGCAGCATCCTTCTGTAGAACACATCTTCATGTCTTTTCTTCATCTGTGAAAAGATTGTCCCGTACTCATTGATTGGAAGATTGATATTGTATAGCAGTTCAGCCCTTTTTTTTTCTTTGTTTTCTAACGCTATTGTTTTTCTGTTTCTCAATACTTTGTTTCCCTCTTGCCTTATGTCCAGCAAGTGTCATATTTTCCAAACCCCCTTCCCTTATTGTGTGTCCTAGAAAGTTTAGCTGTCTATCTAAAAAATTCTCATCCGATATATGATTTGTCGTATGTTGTGAGGATCGTGAAGGGCGGAGGGTCAAACCATTTACATGAATTATTAGGCAAAAAAAAAAAAATAATAATCATGAGAAAAAAAATTATTAGGCAAAAAAAATTATTAGGCCAAAAATTTATCGGACAAAATAAATGTTATTAGGTAAAAAAAATATTAGTTTATTTTAAGTGCAAGAAAAAAATGGCTTCGAAAGTTTAGGTGTGTCTTAAATAATTTCATTAGATATATGTTTTATCGTATGTTGTGAGAATGCTGAAGAAGGGAAGATGGTTAAAAAATTTACATAAATTATTAGGCAAAACATTTATTAGGCAAAAAAATTATGAGGCAAAAAAATTTTAGGCTCGAAATAAAATATTATTCGTCAAAAAAAAAATATTTTAGGCAAAAAAAAATTGTTATGCAAAAAAATATTACTCAAAAAAAATTATTAGGCCAAAACTCTTATTAGGCAAAATTTTCTTTCGCAGATATCTCTCCCGAGTAAGACCCCCCCCATAGAGAAGAACATGACTAAAGACTGTGTGTACGCTATCCCGTGCGGAAAGGAATATAAAGGAGAGATAGGCCGCCCCAACAAGGTAAGGCTTCAAGAACACCAAAAAGCTGACGAGGGGAAGTGGAAAAATCAGGTGTGACTGACCACATATGGAGAGAGAAGGGAGATCACCGCCCTCTGTGGGATCAAGTTGAGATCATAGACAAAGAACACCATTGGAAAATTCGTAAACTTAAGGAATCAGCACATATGCTAAGCCACAAAAATCTGACCCCGACCAAGCATAGAAATAAATATAATATGGGAACCAGTAATAAGGAGTGCCAGAGAAAAGCAATGACAACAACATAGTTGCAATATGAGCTCTGGTAAAAACATCTAATGATAACAGCAAAATTGCAATATAAGCACTGGTAAAAATGGTTGCTGAAGACATTAGGTTTATAATACCCAGAAATGCATACCCAGATGTCCTCAAGGACACATGGCACAGTGGATAAAGGCGTTTGTTAGATCCAGTGACAGGACCCAAAGAGTTGATGTGGATAACTTTCAGAGGGAAATTAAGAGGAGATAACTGATAACTGACATCCATCAAACGTGGAACTAGAACAGTCTACACCAGTGAGTAAAATAAAGGGTTCAGTTCGACATTCCAACCACATGAAGAAGGCCGGAGCGTACAACGGCCGAAACGTTGTGATAGATATGGTGACAAAGATGAGGACAATAGTCCGAATAATGTACATAATACCTCATCTTAGAAATATAGACAGACTCCAAAAAAAAAAGTTATTTGGCAAATAAAAAATAATATTAGGCAAAAAAACTATTAGGCAAGTAAAAAAATAATATTAGGAAAAAAATTATTAGGCAAATAAAAAAAAAATAATATTAGGTATAAAAAAATATTAGTTTATAATATCGTTCTACTCAAAAGAATGAAAAACTAAAAATAATTTTAAGTACATTTTCATCAGTTTTCTTTAGTAAATATTCTTTTAATAGAAGACGCAAGTGCTACTCAAGGTACAGGGTTACTAAATGAGGTTGTTGGATAGACGGAATAGAGAGAATTAAGTGCAGATTATGAAGATGCGTATGATAGGTAACTTGGAGATATTAAAAGTGTTAGGTTCGAGGAATACTCATAGAGTAGAATAGCAGTTCTTGTGAAGAAGCTGTCCACATGGAACTTCCAATAGAATACGAATGGTGGGTCGAGTTCAAATTAACCCTACACCCACTCAGTGTTTCTAACATGGACGATCTTAGCTGTGAAGGACCAGACAGATGGAACAATAGAATGTAGCTCGTCGGGAGATTTCCGATGGGAATAGCAAATGGAATAGCGTTAGATTTACGACGTTGCGTCAGTGGTAAAAAGGCTATATGTTGGGAAATAATTAATCGCCTACAAGGCTTCATCTTTTGAACTCAGGGTTGAAAAGAAAGGATTAGGCAACTCCAGCCCAAATATGTCAGCAATACGCCAATTTGGGTCTGATTTGACTCTTGCAAATGTGGAGTCAAGTTCTTTTTGGAATGATATAAGGAGCCTACTATTTTTTTTTTCATCTTCTTTAGCGATGTATCATATATATGGGTTCCACTTGAAGCAAAGAGTGTTTAGTAGTAATTGTTATATAGTGATGCAATTTGTTAACTCAGACATTAACGAGCTTCCCTTGTACGTTTGAGTAGATTTTATGATAAAGTGACACCGTGTCAAATATTTGGCCAGAGGTATAATTTAAGTGCTTGCCAGAGGCGTTATATTCAAGTGATACGCCCTTGTTCGAAATCCTGGGTTCGGAGGGAAACACACAAAAAACCCACTTCAGGTTATGTTGGAATGCTGTTTTATAAATCATTAATAAATTTAGCTTAGTACTTCAAAGGGCCTAATTTCGCTAAGAAGAATGTTTTGCGCCAGTTTTTAAAATCAGTCTTCAAAATATGATCGGCATCATTTATCACAATGTCGTTAATTTATTTTTCTTTTTTTGCCTTTTTTTTTTCTTTTTATTATCTTCTTTCTTTCTTTCTTTCTTTCTTTCTTTCTTTCTTTCTTTCTTTCTATTTTACTTTGTTTTTATTACCGTGTCTTCGTCTCTTTTTTTTCTTATTCTTTTTTCGTTTTTTTCTTTGATTCCTCTTATTTTTTCCTGCTTTTTCTTTCTTTTTTCTTTTCATTCTTACTTTTCTCTTTCTTTCTTTCCTTCTTTCTTCTTTTTTTCATTGTTTCTTCTCTTTTTCTTTCTTTATTACTTCCTTCCTTTTCTGTCTTATTCTTTTTTTACGTCTTTTCCTTCTTACTCTTTCTTTTTAGTCTTTTTCTTACTCTTTCTTTTTCTTTTTACTCTTTTTCTTACTCTTTCTTTTTCTTTTTAGTTTTTTTCTTACTCTTTCTTTTATTTTTACTCTTTTTCTTACTCTTTCTTTTTCTCTTTACTCTTTTTTCTTTTTACTCTTTTTCTTACTCTTTCTTTTACTTTTTAGTCTTTTTCTTACTCTTTCTTTTTCTTTTTAGTCTTTTTCTTACTCTTTCTTTTTCTTTTTAGTCTTTTTCTTACTCTTTCTTTTACTTTTTAGTCTTTTTCTTACTCTTTCTTTTACTTTTTAGTCTTTTTTCTTTTTAGTCTTTTTCTTACTCTTTCTTTTTCTTTTTACTCTTTTTTCTTTTTACTCTTTTTCTTACTCTTTCTTTTTCTTTTTAGTTTTTTTCTTACTCTTTCTTTTATTTTTACTCTTTTTCTTACTCTTTCTTTTTCTCTTTACTCTTTTTTCTTTTTACTCTTTTTCTTACTCTTTCTTTTACTTTTTAGTCTTTTTCTTACTCTTTCTTTTTCTTTTTAGTCTTTTTTCTTTTTACTCTGTTTCTTACTTTCTTTTTCTTTTTAGTCTTTTTCTTACTCTTTCTTTTTCTTTTTAGTCTTTTTTTCTTTTTACTCTTTTTCTTACTCTTTCTTTTTCTTTTTACTCTTTTTTCTTTTTACTCTTTTTTCTTACTATTTCTTTTGTCTTTCTGTCCTGTATTACACTATCTTCTTTCTTATTATTTATCTTCCCTTTCTTTCCTTCTTTCTTTCTTTCTTTCTTTCTTTCTTTCTTTCTTTTTGCTGCTCAAATTGGCGGAGCGAGAAATTTCGGAGCGATTAGATTCAATACGAACAGACTTTAATGTCAACACACAGTCAGGAGCGCGAACCTTGGCTGTTGACCTTCGGAAGCCCCGTAGTTTTAGATCCGGGAGAGAGTGAGAAAAAAGAAACAAAGGATACAGTGAGTGACATAGAGAGATATGAGGAGTGGAGGGAGGCTAGTCTCTTGGGTGGCAAACGGATATTAGAGATCTTGCTTCCAACAACATAATTTTCAGAAATCGAGGCTTAACAACTCAAAATTAATTGAAATAAGCAGTAATACCAGTAGATAGAGTTATTTCTCAGACTTTCGAGGGTTTTAAACGAATTGCCTGTTCGCCTCATGCTTTAAATTTGATAGGTAACACGACGGTGCCCGGGATTAAAATGTCTTTACGTGTAAACAAGTTACGATCTGTAGAATTAAATCTTTCACAGAAGGTAAAAATTAACAAGGAAAGTAAAATCGGCTAGTCGATTTCATATTCCAGCTTAGAATCCCGCCTTCAATTTCGCACAAGGGCATGAACCCGCCGCTTTTTCCCGCTCACAGCTATGACTTAAATCTTTCACAGAAGGTAAAAATTAACACGGAAAATAGAATCGGCTAGTCAATTTCATATTCCAGCTTAGAATCCCGCCTTCACTTTCGCACAAAGGCATGAGCCCGCCGCTTTTTCCCGCTCACAGCTATGACTTAAATAGCAAACTGGCTCTCAAGTCGTGGGTGACAAAAAGTCTAAGAGAATGAAAAGTTCTGAATTCCAGACCTTTGGTCAACATAGTGAGGACCATTTCGTTATGTTCTTGGTTCTTAAGAAGCATTACAGATTCTACGTTTTTACGACTCGTAAGAAAGAACACTTACACTTCGAAAGAAAGCTGAAATTCTTTGGGTTCCTAATTGGAAAGTGGGACTTGGAAAACTTTGAATGTTGGACAATCTCCCCACGGACGAGGAGAAAATGGATGACAACAGAAATGCGGTTCTACAGAAGGATACTGAGAACTCCATGAATGCAGAGAGGAAGCAACAAAGAAGTCTTAAAGAAAAAGGCAACAGAAGGAAAAACTTCTGCTCAGAATCAGGAACAAGCAGCTGAAATTTCTTGGATACATAATGAGGAAGGAAGGTTTGGAAATCTTAACCCGTAACTTAAATTTCTATATAGATAGCCATTCATATCTATCTATCTATCTATCTATCTATCTATCTATCTATCTATCTCATTCCGTCCATATGTATGTATTTCAGTCTTGTTATATCTATCTCAGTCTGTCCATACGTATATATTTCAATCTTGTTATGTCTATCTATCTATCTATCTATCTATCTATCTATCTATCTATCTATCTATCTATCTATCTCACTGTCCATATGTATATACAGTGTAACCCGGATATAAGAGAGTTGTCGGGACCGGAGAAGAAGTCTCTTATATCCGGGTTTCTCTTATATCCGGGTTTGGTCTATTTTATATACATTAACACAGGTTCTAATTTGGGACCAGAGAAAATCTCTCTTATATCCGGGTTTCTCTTATATCCGGGTCTCTTATATCCGGGTTACACTGTATGTCAGTCTCGTTATATCTGTTTATCTATCTATCTATCTTAGTCTGTTCATATCTATCTCTCTTAGTCTGTTCATATCTATCTATCTATCTATCTATCTATCTATCTATCTATCTATCTATGTGTGTGTGTGTGTGTTTAACTGTTCATATCTCACCATATATCTGCCTGTAGTTGTACATATATACCTCGTATCTATGTATTCTACTATCTTGCCCACTCTCTCTCTCTCTCTCTCTCTCTCTCTCTCTTTTCTACTTGGTAACTTTATAGACGATTCCATTTTAATGATTTCCACAAGTTCAACATTCCCATACTCTTCTTTTTCAAAAATACTTTTGTCCTCGATTTCCAGAGCAGCTCGCCTACCTCAGTAACAGAGAAATGTCACATTCCATAAGATCGAAAAGCTGAAATGAATGACCCCCCCCTTTTAATCTTGTCTGATATCAATGCCGATAGCTTTACAGATACTGTCACCATTCAATCTAACGAATTTTCACCCTCCATTCTCCATTCAGCCGGATAGATATACACCTTCTTTTAATCTCTTCCTGTATTTTTTAATCGATTTCACCCCATGCAAGTCAGTAGTCACAAGGTGTTACTGGCTGCGGAAGAATTAGAAAAGAAAGACAATACTCGGAAGCGAAAACAAAATGACAGTACAGTAGACAACGGTTGACATTGCATTTAACTTTTTACGGATTAAAGATGGCTGGAAATCATGGAGCCGGTAGATAGTTCCATAAGCGAAAAGTACGATGGTCTACTGTTACATCTAGTCAAATCAACTGTAAATTACACTCTAGGTAAGACGATAAACTACTTCCAGCAGCAAGGCCTCTAATCAGGAGGCTCTGAGGAGCATGGAATCACCTCTTAATTGCTGGTGTTCCCAGGTCTATCTTAACCCGGGGTGGTAGCATCTGTTAGGGTCCCAGCTATGGGAAAATAGTTAACTCCCAAACTGGGGTCAAAACACTAGGAAAGGTTTTAATACCAGCAATACATTTTTGAAGAAAATAAATATTACCAGCAATAGGTTATTTAGAGAAAAATATTAGCAGCAATACACTTTTGAAAAAAAATATTTTTAAAAATATTTAAAAATCTTGTTGGCGTCGAGGTTGATATGCCGTAAAACAAAACAAACCCAAATCCACTGTAAAATGATGAGATCTCGACGCCAGTCGAGTACGGTGATTAAAACATCTAAGTAGCATAGCGAAGAGGCCATCCAAAAAAGAAGGAGCCTAATGAAGAGGTCATCTAAAAATTATCATGAAATTAGTTCTAGAGAAAGACAACAGGAGGCAACCTTACGGTGGTGGAAAAGTGAGTGAATCCAAGTTGCCAGATCAGGACCAATAATATTGCTGATATATAAATTAGCTCTCTATCTAAGCCTAGGTCAAGAATTTATTATAGAACTAGCAGTAGAGCCCGGCGTTGCCCGTGGATGTAACAGTAAGAGATAAATCAAGTATCGACCATCATAAAGACTGAAGAATAAAATTGACAAAGATTATTGTTTAAGGTTGACAGACACGCATGTCTTAATTAGTATTTTTTTTTTTTTTTTTGTTTTTTTACGAATTGGTCAAACTCAAACAAAAACATTGTTTTCAATCGTTATGAGTCTACCGATTAAATAGAATTTTATTATAAACAGTTCTCTTGTAAATGAAATTTTAAAAGCATTCTGAATGTAAAAATAAACAAAAAAAAGTGTGCAAGACAATAAGAAACACTACCTGCCAAAAAAATAAGTGAAGTTTTGTTGAAATCTGTTGAAAAATGTAGGAAATCAGATCCCATATATAAACGAACACACACACACAAACAACCTGGGTTTTATAAGTATAACTCGAGATGAGTTGTCCCCCTTTCATTCTGGTGACAGAATTGTGTTTTATCGTGTTTTCAAATTGATTTTGTGCAAAAACAATTGTGTTTTTCCAACTTTTGGTGCTGTCAGAACCACCACATGGTAATTTTACGTAGTCCTGTGAAGTTTTGTTGAAATCGGTTGAAAAATGTAGGAAATCCGATCCAATATATAAACGTACAGACACACACACACACAAACAATCTGCGTTTTATAATAAGTAAGATCACCTGCTTCTTTTACGTGCCGTGTTCCTTAAGGACATTGGTTATCACGGTTCTCCTTTTGTCCTCTAGTTATTTCTCCTAAACCATGCCCCACCATCCATTTAATCAAGCTCTCTAGGTCGGTAATGCATTGTTTTCTTCTGTCTCTCTTTTCTTCAGTTTGTCCTGTGAGTATCAAATTCACCAAGCCCTCTTTCTTCACTAAATGTCCTATAATTTTCTACTGTCTCTTCCTGATGTTAAGCACAAGTATCCATTTCGTTTTCATTTTCTTTAAAACCTCGTTGTTGCTCACATTATCGTCCGTGGTATTCTCAGCATCCTTCTGTAGAACCACATCTCTGTTGCCTCAAGTCTCTTCTTCATCTGTGACGCGATTTTCTAGCATTCACCGCCATAAAGGAGGACATATATTACATAACAGTTGATTATTCTTTGCTTTGCTTCTGGAAGTCCTCTTTTGCCATCTCAGTCCCGAATTTCAGTGTCGCACTTTCCGTCCTCTGCTAAAACACTTCCCAGATATTTTGTACTTGTTTTATTGCTACAATGTAACCCGGATATAAGAGAAACCCGGATATAGGAGAGATTTTCTCTGGTCCCAAATTAGAGCCTGTGTTAATGTATATATAATAGACCAAACCCGGATATAAGAGAAACCCGGATATAAGAGACTTCTCTGGTCCCGACAACTCTCTTATATCCGGGTTACACTGTATATAGGAATAAAGTATCACTGCCGACACTTGAGTTTGAACACAGATCGCCAGTGAGCAAACAAAGGCGATCCCATTATTGAATTAAGTAGACCACGTGACCATAGAGGAAACGCATAAGTAAAAATTAGCTTTGAGTCTATTTAATCGCATTTCTATTCTATCCTCTACTAGCAGTATGGCCCGGCGTTGCCCGTGCTTGATTCAAAAATCGTACGACTCATACAGCAATCGCTATCACTTGACTTAAAATATTTTTGCCCTTCCTTGCTTTTTTTAAAGGAGTGCCCTTTGCCGTGCTGATGTTGCTACATGCCTTACTTTTTTGCTTATCTCACACTGTGAATTTTTCTAAGCTCTATACTAAACATTAAATCTGTTACGAAAAAAGAACTAAACAAAATGGACACAAAACGATCAGCTTTAAAAAAAGGACTCGTAACTGGAAAAACTGAATGAAAAAAGAATGTTAACAACAAATACTTTTTCACACCCAACCCAGTTCTGTGGAATCAGAATCAACGTTGAGTTTAAGCAAGCAAATGAGCCAATTGGAGTAAAGTGCCATGCAGATTTAAATTTTTCCCACTTGTGACGAATGCAGCTATCGATTTTTTTTGCATGCTAGCATGCTAGTTAACATTCGTGTCAATCAGCTGTTGGCTCTCACGCTGGCCAATAGAATCTCCTTGCCTATTCGTGGCAGCCAGCTCTTATTCTGGCCAGTAGAAAATGGCCGCAAACTACATGAAAACTGCCGTAGAAGCATGAAAAAATCGATTATTTCCACTATCGATGGGAGTTGGGAAATGCAAAGTCTGTCTTGGCCTTCTCCGCTAACTTGGAGCATGTACATGTAAATTTTGGTGCAAATCCGTCGAAAATTGCTGCCCTGCATTCGTTACACACACACACACACACACACACACACACACATCCTGCTTTTTATAGATAGAGATTACTATTCGGATCTGCATTTCTATTCTATCCTCTATCACTATACGGACCGCTATTCTTTACTCTATTCACTAGACTATTTCTCTATTCGGATGACTATACAGTTTACTGTTCAAGCGAGTATTATTGAGCAAGTACTATTAGAGCGAGTGTTATTCGAAGGCGTCTGACACCAGTATTGTTCAACGGTGTTACTATCGTTGTATCTGCGATTACAAAGTCTCTACTACAACGAGCTTTACGAAAGTGACAACAAGTATTCGTTGGCCTTACGAATTTTATTTATGTTAGACTGTTCTTTTTTCGTGCAACCATGCATTCCCTCTTATTGATGTTTAAACCTTTCTCCTAGTTTTCCTTCACTGCCATCCGCTCTCTAGTTCCCTTTCTGTGTCTACTATCAACACTGTGTCATCCGTATATCTTGTGCTGTTAAAACTGTGGCCGCCAATAATATATTCTTGTTTGACTTTCAATTCTCTAAGAATCGCCTCACTGTATAGGTTGAATACGTCCGGCGAGAAGACACATCCTTGTCTTACACCCTTTCCTATGTTTGTATATATACTGATTTAAAACTCATTTTCTATCCGTGTGCAGACGGTTTTCTGCCACTATAGGGTCTGTGTTATTCTGATATCCTTCCCAAATATGTCAAGCATTCCTAATAGTTGTTCGTGATGCACTTTATCAAATGCTATTGGTTAATCTATAATACATCCTTCTGCATTAATATTGCTCTTTCTGATCTCATTCTGAACATAAATATCGAATTCCTTGTTTCAGTGTCTTTATCGAGCACGCACTGTTTTTGTTCCATTTCATGTCTAATTCTGCTGCGTGCTGTATTCATCAGAATTCGGATGTTAGGTTTTTCATTAGGCCGATGGAGTTCATATTCGTTTGCACTTGGTTTCTTATACAGTGCTATAAAAATAGATCTACTTAGGTCTTCCGGTATACCCCTTCTGTTATCTATTTAATTTATTATGTCTATAATTTAGACAATGCCAAAATCTCTCTTCGGTCTGGTCCTGCTGCTTTGTTTCTGTTAATTTTGGCCAGTGCTAATTCCAATTCAAACCTTCAGACTTCTGGTACATGGATATTTCTGTACATTGCCGTTTGTTCTCTTTCTTCATGGAAGAGTTCTCCGATGTATTCGTTCCATCTCTGAAGTATTTTTCTTTTTCGAATGTCAGCCTTCCGACCTTGGATTTTAGGCAGCCTCTTGATGAGCATTTCTTTTGTACTGTTAGTTCTCTAATTTTTATGCATATTTGCTTTATCTGTTAGACTCATTCTTTCTATATCTGCACATTTTTCGTTGAGTCATTCCTCTTTAGTCACTCGTTCGGTTCACCTCTCTGTCTCTGGACGGAGAGGAACCCGAAGGAGGCTACGCCGAAGGGCGGAGTCTCCTTCGGGGAGGTTAAACCGGCCCTGAACCCGTTTATGCGGGTTCAAATG